GTAAATAAAGAAACAACATGGGCACCAGAATTCTAAGTCACATTTACAACAAAAATGCTTAAAGCAATGAAATGTTAATGTAAACGTGGGAAGGATCGTTTGTTTGTCTGTTCATTCAATTTCAGAATGCTAAATTTATTTATTATTGTCTGTTCATTAACCCGAAAGTCACTTCATCTACACAGTAAGATAAACGGCCAGGTCAGAGACCCTTATGGCTCAGGCAGCAGTCGTCCCTGTATGGTCATGAACTGTGAACCAGAGAAAAGGAAACAATTCGCCAGCACCCGCCGCCTAAAAACTATACTTAACTGGATAATGAAATTAGCTGTAACTCTTATAACTCACCCACTGCTGAAAGTACGAAGCACGTTCGGTTGAACCACGTCTCGAACTCGAAACCCTCGGATCTCTAGTTCGATACTCCAACCACCAGGCAGCGCTCGAGCAGAAATATATATATATATATGCATAAATTCCACTGACTTCAAGTTAGGATATTGACCAAATTCGTCTTGTGTTAAACAGCTGTATACATTTATTTATTACAGAGAATCATACGTCGTTAAATTACGACTCGTTAATAATTATGTTCCCTGCAGAATTAACATTAACCAGATCTTGTGTCAAAACCTTCTTAAAGTTACAACTGGTATAAATAAAGGTTATTGAACTGTAACACGTTATTAGCTACCCCTCCCAGTTGCCCAGCGAAAATTATGAAGGCTTATAACGCTAAAAATCGGGTTTCGATACCCGTTGTCAGCACAGATAAACCAATGTGTAGCTTTGCGCTCAACAACAAACAGCCATTAGCTTCAGAATGGTGTTAAGCTTCATTGTCTTCATGACTTATGTGCCCTATTTCACGAGCCATCAACAACTGTAAAAACCTTTGAAAATTTTTGATTATTATGGAGATGCCATTCACTGGCTCAGCCGTAAATCAGAAGGTTTATAAGTCTAAAAACCAGGTTTCGATACCCGTGGTGGTCACAACATAGAGATCCAATTGTGTAGCTTTGCGCTTATCAACAAACACACAGTTATAAAGATACTGTTATATATCCTACTTTTAATTAATTTAAGGGTAAAGTCTACGTGTTTTGATCGGTACTTCACTTATGTACGCCCCCCCCAGTGGAACAGCGGTATGTCTGCGGAGTTACAACGATAAAAACCGGGTTTCGATACCTGTAGTGGGCAGGGCACAGATAGCCCATTGTGTAGCTTTGTGCTTAATCACAAACAAACATTTATTTACGAATGCACATGATCCTAATACAATAGAAAATTCACACACAACGATTTACAAACATAATAACAATTGTTTTTATATATATAGAGAACATATTACATGTTTTATCAAAACAGTGGTCTGCCTTTTTCATAACTGAAAATTGTTACGAAACCAAGTTAACCTGGCAATCAAGTATCTAATTACATCTTTCTAGTTTAAAAACACCACAACTCGAGTGGCTCCAATCGTTTGATAATTACCAAGTTAATTTTTTTTATTCGTTTCGTTGTGATTTTCACGCAAAACTACACATGGTCTATTTGTACATAGTTGTCCTTAGTTATAAACAACTAGTCAACAGCACCCACCGCTAACTCTTGGGTTAGCTTTGGTGGATATGATCCTCGTAGTTACAGCGTTTTTCATTCAGCAACGGGTCTCGAACCATGAATCATCGTACTCACAGTCCAGCTACCCTAATCGCTCATTAAATACATTACGTTATGCCAAAAATCTAGGTTTCTTTATTAATCAACGTTTAAGGTAAAAAAATCTTTGTTTAGAGATTAATTTCTGTCTTACCTTTTGATAAAAGAAAGGCCTAGTTAAAGCTAACCATCTCTCCACAGCCATTACTGTAGCCACACTGCCTGAAGACAGGCCGAAAGTTCGAAGGAGGACCCGAAGAATACAGAGCCATCGAGGGATGACCAGCTCTTTTGGCTCAAGATAAAGTTGTACATACATGAGAAGAAAAGACCCTACAAGGGCTAATATGTCGTTCCAGATCAAACACCGGACCATTAGCGTCTGTTTTCGGTTCCGAGGGGTTTCACCCCGCCTTAACAGGATTAAAGAACAAATGTTTGCTCCAACACCGAAGACATATAGAAAGCTGATGAGAACCTGATTTAATGTGGACAGGTGCCGCATGGGTCCGTCAGTTTCAAACTGATCTTTAGCTGACCATGTGATGTTCCATATAACCGCTGTAAGGTTGGTTTCGCTGACCATATTAACCACAGATTTATTCACTAGTAAAGGCTGAGTTTAATAACCCCCTGACGAATTAAGTCTTTATGATCCGGGCAAAAAAAAGAAAAGAAAAAAGATCAGATAACACTACAATACCAACATTTTCCATCTTGAGTTTTCCTCCAGGTATTCATATCTCATATTTAAGCTACAAAGATCTGTTGATGTGGTGTGGTCTAGAAAATCAAGTTGGTGAACACGCACACTCGGTGCACTAAGAATGATTGATATTTATCAACGTTAGGTGGACACTTCACTGGACAGAAATAACTTAACAGACAGAGTATACGTCACACGTTCGCCATTTCAGCTTGTAATAAAACAAAAAATTAATTTCACAAAATGAAACAGGGATGATTTCTCTCTTCTTCTTACCACGTGCTGCACGAGACCTGAAGGCTCAGATCACACGAATCTCATCGCTCAACACAAAAGAGTACGAAACAAGAGCGTCAGAAAATGTCACCAGAGGGCAGCACATCCTAATGCGTCTTCTGAGTGTTCACTCTTTTAGTATAAGTAATTCTATCAGTTTCATATCAACTTTGTATGTATGAATTATTGAGTATTGTTCAGTTTTGGTGAGGAAACATCTGTAGCACAACAGTCAGCCATGAACTTAACTTTCCAGATGATGAAAGCAAATAAGTGATTGAAAACTCAGAGTGTAAACTATTTAGTTTAGAAACTCACTCATTAGTTTGGACGTCAGTAAGGTTTTTCATATGTCATGTGCTCTGATTAGAAAGATTGTTCATATACCGCGTGCTCTGGTCAAAATGATTGTTCGTGTGTCATTTGCTCTGGTCAGTAAGATTGTTCTTTTGTCACGTGCTCTTGTCGGAAAGATTGTTCGTATGTCACGCGCTCTGGTCAGTAAGATTGTCTATATGTCATGTCTCGGGTCAAGTGACTTTTCAAAGATGTTTCCCCCACATAACATACGTATTGTATATATATTACTAGTACTGAATAAATAGACCATTTATATCTATATTTATATTACACCCACGGTCCCAAAGAAAATTCAGAAAAAGAAAGTTATTGATGATGTTGTGACTTTTCTCACTAAAGTTTTTTTAACTTTTGCAGTTAATATATTATTTTTATTTGTAATAACATTTTATAAAATATTATTTATTTAAAAAATATTGTATTTAATCAATATACTCTAAGTTTGTTAGATGTCGCCACATCTATTGCCGCTGAAACTAAAATTATTGTATTGCTTGTATTTGCAAGTATGTAAGTGAATAAAATTAAAAATTCATATTGAATCATTGGTTAATCATTTATATGTTTTAATATCTTTCATACTGTTACTAGGCCTGTATGAAGCAATGAACTTTTTGAATGAAGTAAAGAGCTGGCTAAATAACCAATATATTAGAGTTCCTGAAAACTGGACAGAGGCTTGTATTGAATGGGTGACTTATGAGCATCAGGCAAATGTATTTTATAATTTATTTTTCAATTTCATAACTAACTTGCTACTAAACTACTAGTAATTTATGTGTTGGTCTAACCTTGGAACAAAAGAACAGTTATACTTTAGGCTGAGTTTAGTTGAATATTTTACACAGCTCCAGAAATAAAGTTTTGTTAACAACGAAGGACCATTTGATCATTATTTAAAGTTTTAAGGCTGTCTTTGTAGTCGTACTCCCACCCTAGAGAAAAGTAAAAACTTGAGGCTTAAGCCCAGAAAATCATCGATTCTCCTCATAAACTCCAGTAAAATGTTGGCTTTCAATAATTATGACAGCCACTCCTACCATAAGCCAGTCACCAGATTAGAACCATATAGATATGCCATTTAAACTTTTTTAAAGTATGAGGATCTTAATAAACTAAAGTTTTGGGAATTTTGGAAGTTAGACTTCTTTTAATAGGTTTTACGACTAGGGCTAGGCCTAAATAATGTCAAGATTAACAGTACGGCTGACTCGGTGACTGTGATACACCTCCTTCAGTTGTGGTCTAACAAATTGTTTAAAATTTACCTTGCAAGAATTCTGCTTCTCTAAGAGCTTTTATCATTGTATGTCTTTCTTTCATGGCATTAGCAGGTAATTAGAATTAATCTAAATATTTGAAAATCTAATTTTTATTTCGGCAATCACCTTTCCTTATCTGCTTATTATGCTGACATATAATCAGTTGTTAATTATGTACTGCTATAATTATTATTAAATGATTCACATTGTATTCTATTTAAATATTTTGGGTATAAAAAGCTTAAGGTATTGTTTAACTTATAATTTGTGAACACTGTTAGAGGGCATGACATACATTTCAGGGTTAATACTATAACTTTATACTATCCAAGATGAAGCACACTGAATAGTTTCCAAATGTCATTGAACTTATTAACTGTAGTAATTCAAAAACTTTCCTTATAATCTTGTACTGTAGACAACTTTCAAAAATGGAGGTTTCAATCTAAGCAGAGATTTTTAATATTTGGTTTCCTTACATATGTGATAATGAATTGAATACTTTAATTTTTTGTCAGGAAGGATCTTGGCATAGTGGTGGGTAAATCAGTGAGGTAGTGCTCTGTTGCTAGTAGTAATAATAATATAATTTTAGGATGTATATTTACATTTGATTAGATGTCAAAATTAGATAATTGTCTATATATAAATCATAGTTAAGCCTCACTTAGAATACTAGGTACAGTTTTGGTATCCTTATCTAAGAAAGGATATTGACTTCTTGTAAAGGGTTCAGAGGAAGACTACTAGAATGAATCCAGTATAGGGATAAGGTTAAGATATCTTAACTAATTTTCTCTTGCAAAAAAAAGAAGGGTAAGAGGTGATTTTTACAAGATTCCTGGAAGATCCACAGGATAAAGACACCTGGTTTCTTTGTGCTATACGAAGAGAGGACATATGTAGCTGTGATAGTCTGTTTAAAACTGGATATATAGCTGTGAGAGTCTGTTTAAAACTGGATACATAGCTGTGATAGTCTGTCAAAACTGGATAAGTAGTTGTGAGAGTTTGTTTAAAACTGGATAAGTAGTTGTGATAGTCTGTTGAAACTGGATAAATAGTTGTGATAGTCTGTTAAAACTGGATACATAGCTGTGATAGTCTGTTAAAACTGGATAAGTAGTTGTGAGAATCTGTTTAAAACTGGATACATAGCTGTGATAGTCTGTTTAAAACT